CCTCCCTCCCTCCCTCCTTCCTTCCTTCCTTCCTTCCTTCCTTCCTTCCTTCCTTCCTTCCTTCCTTTTCCTTCTTTTCAGACATGGTTTCTCTGTGCTGCCCTGGCTGTCCTGGAACTTGCTCTGTAGACCAGTCACTCACAGAGATTAGCCTGCCTCTGCCTCCCAAGTGCTGGGATTAAAGGTCACCACGCCCAGAAGGGGGCATCTTTCCTTGAGGAACTTGAGTTTTCACCTCAACACCAAGCAGAACTGATGAAGCATTGCAACTTCTAGTGTTTCCCTTTATGAATCTTATTTGAACATGGGGCTAGAGATACAGCCAAATAATCTTTCCTCTGATATGGTCTTATAGTCTAAGACTTCTGAAATGAACCAGCCACACCTCCAAGCCCTCTCTCAGCATATTTCATTAACTCCTCTTGAACAATTTTATGAGGCAGAAATGATTGCACTCAGGAGAAATCTAAGCACATAAAATGAGAAATTGAGAATGAGAACCCAGGTCTAAAACTCTCAACCCACTGACTGTCGTTCTGCCCTTTCTGTACCATAATCTTCATACATACACATTTCAGTTGGTAGCTTATGCTTCCCCTCAGAGAGAAGCTGTTGATTACGGGAGTGTCTTAAAATAGATGGCCTCTTGGAATCAGGGAATCCCAGTACAGGGCTGGAACTCCCCTTCTCTGGACTTTAGGTTTCTACTCTGAATTTGGGGGAAGCTTTAGGATACAGGAAATTGTATTTACTTTCTGGCCAGGTAGCCACGACACATAGCCTGGAAGGCCATGATCACATCAGTAATCTTCAGGTCTCGTTCCTCCTCCAGGTGGGCCAGGACTCCCGTTCGGAAGAAGATTTTGCTCTGCCCAATCCTGTACAGGTTGGGGTCAAGTTCTAGGGCTTTGATCTGAGGAGAGAGAAAGAGAAAGGCTGCTATTTCTAACTGTTCTGTTTGTTCAGTGATGCCATGTATTTAGGAACCATTCCACCCAGATCAGCAACTGGAAATACGACTCAGAGCTGGGAGGTCACAATTGGATGTTTGGGGAGGGTCCAAGGTTAAGCTCACCATGAGAATGCAAGCTTGCTTTCCATCCATAAAGCCTTTGGGGATGGCGTTCGCTGCCAGGATCTCATAGCTTAAAACACAGACAGAAGTTACGCACTCATCTCCATGATTCATGCTTTCTTCAGGGCTTGCTCCCCACTGCCCAACCAACCACAGCAGGCTCACCGTTGCCGGAACTCTTGGAAGACAATCCTGTTGGGGAAGCCCTGACGGCAGATGCGGATGCCCTCCAACACGCCATTACACCGCAGCTGCTCCAGCACCAGAAATGCGTCCAACTTGCCAGACTATGGAAGTAGAAGAGGCCAGTGACCACTCAAGCAGCAAGGCCCAGACCCCAGGGCCAGAAAACTAACCTGAAGTCTGTGGGGTCTTCACAAGGTTTAGCTGAGGTACAATGTCCCCTGTTGACATCTCTGGGTCTTTATATTTTCTTTGGCATTTTTTGTCCCATAATCCCCATTGTACTTGGTGGTGCTAGCACCCCTGGCTAGAAACTGGGTCTGTTTCCCCTTTACTATCCTCTCCCTCACTCCTGGTCTTTGATAATCCATAGCTCTTACCTCCCAAGTCTCTCCCAGTAATTTTCTTTTTTCCTTTTTTAAAATTTTCCATTTTTAAAAATTGATTTTACTGAGCTCTACATTTTTCTCTGCTTCCCTCCCTTCCTCTCCTCTCCCCTTCAACCCTCTCCCATGGTCCCCATGCTCCCAATTTACTCAGGAGATCTTGTCTCTTTCTACTTCCCATGTAGATTAGATCTTTGTATGTCTCTCTTAGGGTCTTCTTTGTTGTCTAGGTTCTCTGGGGTTGTGAATTATAGGCTGTTTTTTTCTTTGATTTATGTCTAAAAGCCACTTATGAGTGAGTCCAGTAAGTTTCTTTAAAAAAAAAAAAACCTCGGGAGACAGAGACAGGCAGATCTCTATGAGTTAGAGGCCAGCTTGGTCTACAGAGCAAGTTCTAGGACAGGCTTTAAAGCTACACAGAGAAATCCTCTATTGAAGAACCAACCCCCCCCCAAAAAAAAGAGCAGTTGTAGTGTATTAGTATGTATTATGTTCTTGCATGTCTATGAAAGCATACATGTGTGGACATGTGTGGTGTGTGTGTGCTATGTATGTGTGTATGCGCCTGTGTATGTGATATGTACGCATGTGAAATGTGTATATTCATGTGTGTGTATTCATTTGGAGGTCGAAAGTTGGTGTCAGAAATCTTCCATTGTACTCATTGACTCGTTCATCCAGACTCAAAGTTCACCAGTCCTGCTAGTCTCTTAGCTGAATTGTTTTGGAAATTCCTGTCTCTGTCTTTGGAGATTAAAATTACAAGCAGGCCACCATACCCACCTAGTATTTATGTGGGCTTCTGGGGTTCCAAGTCATACTTGTGTGGCAAGCATCTCTCCCAACCTACATTCGTATGCCATTGTCTGTGTCTTTTACCCAGACAACTGCAGCACCTTCCAACTTGGTCATCTCCCCCCAGTCCTGCTCATTCCTCCTAGCTCCTCATTTGGTCTAAAACATAATTTTGATCATGACCTACTGTATAAACTCCTTCAGTGGCTTCCTATAGACAGGAGGCCATCACAAAAGGAACTCCACAATCCAGTCCAGTCCCATCCCTACCTCATGTCAATAAGAAACAAGGGGGCTGGATGATGGCTCACTCCATAAAGTGACCACTCTATAAGCATGAGGCCCTGAGTTCAAATCCTCAGGACCCATGTAAAGCCAAGCATAATGCCATGTGCCTGTAATTCTAGAATTGTAAGAAGGAAGGCAGGGATAGAGGATTTCAAAAAGCTAGTAGGCCAGCTAAACTGTCCTGTATGGTAAAGCTTCAGGCCAATGAGAACGCTGTCCCACATGGAAATGGAAGGTGCCAAGGACCAACACCAGAGCTTGTCTTCTGACCTCTACAGTACACTGTATATGTATGTGTACATGCACACAAAACAAAAACAATACAAAATGAGCTAGCTACAGTTTTCTTGCCTAGACTCATTTTCTTACCCTCAGTCCTTGACCTAAAGGCCTCCAGACACACTCATACCTCACCATGCACGTCACCACGTTGATGTCTACCCATGTCTTTTAAAATGACATTTATTTATTTATTTATTTATTTATTTATTTATTTATTTTGTATATGTGTGTATGTGG